CAAGCATTTATTTAATGTTTACTGTGAGGCAGGTTCTGTGCAAAGTAATGAGGATACCAAGAAAGGCAAAAGCAGTCTGTTACCTTAAGGAGCCTATCTTCTTATGGAGGGAGACAACATGTAAACAAATAGGTACTTATAAGATACGTACAGAACAGATGGAAGGTGATCTTTTAGAGCAGCTGTGAGACCAGGAAAGGCCTCCTGCAAGATGTGTTTGAGCTGAGTTTTGAGCCACTGGAGTTTATTGAGTATGAGAGTGATATGCGAAATGACTTTGGCAGCTCCGTGTAGGATAGATTGTAGACTTCAGTTAAGGAGACTGATTAAAAGACTTTTATAATAGTCCAGGTGAGAGGTTCCTCTCCAGGCTGTACCCTGGACTTCATGTAAGGAGGGTGCCCAGGACAGCCATACCTCTTTCTTTTCCAGGCTGCCATCCAGAGTTCCTCTGCCGTGCCTCCCTCTTTCCCTCCCTCCTACTGGGTACTTCTTTCTTCCTGTCCCTTCTCCTTCTGTTCCCTTCTCTCTGTCCTTTTCTGTTTCATTTTATGTATTATTTTCTCCCAATAAAATGTAAGCTCCTTAAGGATAAACACTATTTTTCTTTCTGCTTGTGTTTCTGCCGGTGCTTAGCATAGTACCTGGCACGTAATAAATGCTTGTTGAGTGACTGACTGAACTAAGGTAGTGGCTGCATGAATGGAGATCAGAGGGGACACATGAGAGTTGTTGCGAAAGTAGAAATGACAAGATTTGGCAGTGGATGGGATATATGGGGTGTGAGTGAGGGGGTGAGGGTGACACTAAAGATGTGAACCTGAGAGAATTGTGTTATCCACAATAACAGTAGGACATTTCATAAGGTGGCACAGTTTTTGGGAAAAATTAAGCCTAGTTTTAGACCTGTTGAGTTTGAGGTGCCATAGAGACCTTTAGATAGAGGCGACCTATAGGCATTTGAAGGTTTGTGTCTGGAGCTTAAAAATGTTAGGATAAAGATTGAGGAGTCAACTGGATGATAACTGAAGTCCTGAGAGAGCGTGAGTTTGTTAAGAGAATTGAGAGAAGAGAAAACAACCAAATGGAAGAATAAATGAATAAAATATTTGTTAAGTACTTTCTGTGTGCCAACCAGTGTGCTAAGCATTAGGGATACAGATAGAAAAGCAAGAGAGTGCTTGTTCACAAGGAGCTAACATTCTGATTGAGGGAGACAGCACACACAGGTTGGATGTAAGTAGATAGAGAAATCTATTTGATCTGAAATCTAATCTGATCCTTGGGTTTCAGCTTCAGAGAAGATGGCAATGCCTGGGAGGGCCAGTGGCAGGCCGGGTGATAAGGCCTGGTGGTCCTGCAGCAATTTCCTGGAGAATTTATTCCTGTGAGAACTTATTTTCTTAGGGAGGTGCAGTACCATTAGACCGCTCTGCCCTCTGTGGCCCAGCAGATGCCAATCCCACAGCCTGAGGTTAAGGAACAAGATGCCTGAGTTGCTGCTGTTGCCCTTTGCACCATCTGTTATCAGCCAACATCACTGTCATGGTTAGCAGGCTTGGGTGGCTGTGGTAAATGAGGAGGAGACAGTGGGTTCAGAGGAGCCCACTGGTGGTGGGAGCAACATCAGGAATGCAGGTGTAGGAGCACGGTCCAGACCAGATCCAGAACCTTGGGAATCTCCTCACTTAAGGTCATAAGGAAGATGAGGAGCTTGAGAGAGAAACAGAGGAGGAGTAAGAGAAGAAAGAGAGTCCAGTGTTTCTGAAATTGAGAAAGAAAAGATCATGCAGAAAGAGAAGGTGGCAAATGCTGTCAAGAAGTCAAGGAGCATGAGAAGTTTTTGCTGTTGTTCTGTTGTTTCAGTTATATCTGACTCTTCATGACCCCATTTGGAGTTTTCTTGGCCAATATAACTGAAGTGGTTTGCCATTTCCTTCTCCAGCACATTTTACAGATGAGGAACTGAGGCAGATAGGGTTAAGTGACTTTCCCTGGGTCACACAGCCAGTGAATGTCTGAGGCAGGATATGCACTCATGAAGGTGATGAATCTTTCTGACTCCAGACCTAGCACTCTACTACACCACCAGGCTGCTCTGATGAGAAGTTTAGGCCTCCAGACTTTTTTGGTTGGGAGGTCGTTGGTGGGCTTTGACTAAGCAGTTTCAGTAGAATGGTGGTGCCAGATTGCAGTGGGCTGTTGGGGGCCACTGATTAGTGAGGAAGTACTAAGCGCAATGGCTGACACATAGTAGCCATTTGATAAATGCTTGTTGACTTGAGTTGGGAACATCAGACGTAGATAACTTTTCCCAGAAGTTGGACATTGAAGAGGAATAGAGATATAGGACAGTTACTGGGTCAAGGGAAGACTGTTTTAGGATTTTTTGTTTTTGTTTTTTGGTGAGACAGTTGGGGTTAAGTGACTTACCCAGGATCACACAGCTAGGAAGTGTCAAGTGTCTGAGGCCGGATTTGAACTCAGGTCCTTCTGACTCTAAGGCCAGAGCTCTATCCACTGCTCCACCTAGCTGCCCCTTAAGGCTGTTTAGGATTGAAGAGAATTGAGCATATTGATTGGTAGAGAAGAGGGAGAGAAGATAAATGCTGGAGTAAGGTCCTGAACAAGCCAGGAAGGAAAGGGATTTCCCTTAGCAAGGAGTTGAGATAGTTCTTGCACTGACCCTGGAAGAAGGAAGAAAAGAATTGGTGATGATGATGATGAAAATTTTTTTGAGAATTGGAGAAAAGTTGAAGGAGTCCCTATCTGGCCTCAAAATTCACAGTGACTTTGGAGACTGTCATTTCCTGTATAAGTAAGAGCGTGTGAGTGTGAGAGAGTGTGTGTGTGTGTGTGTGTGTTTGGTGGGGAGAGAGATTAGAAGCATGGGGCTTAAAAGGAGAGGGTAATTTTAGTACAGTTCCTGTGGAAAATGATAAAAGAACTCTCTAAGGCTAGAATAAGAGGATTTGCCAGGTAGCAGTGAGGATCCTGCACATATTAAACATCACATATTTATAGTGAATGAAATCAACTCAATTTAATGACTTTTTCTTAGTTACACATACAAACCTGAGAGTATATTTGTTTTACAGAATGCTTTTTCATTAGTGTAGGAGCAGGGGAGCACCTCCTATTTTTGGAGCATGTGAATATGATCACATGTTGGATATATTGGGAGCAGGAACAGAGCAAGTATATAGGAGCTACCCAGAGTTGAGGATTAACAGGTTGGGAATTGGCAGGAAGTCAGGGGTGTGAGTAATTCTAGGGTTGTGGCTTAATGAATCATTCACAGGACACACAGTGGGGTCAAGACTGAGTTTGGAGACTAGGGAAATCAGAGCAGGGGAGATGACTGGGAGTAATAGTGACTGAATTGAAGGATCAAAAGTGTTGCTGCAGGTGACAGACACTTTTATTGTGAGTAAAAAAGCGAGGGGTGAAAACAATCAGAGATAGTAGAATGTTATGAAGTCATCAGTGATGTCTAGGGTGTGACCATGCTAAAGTAGTCTGGTGGAGGACTTACTGGACATAAACAGTGGTGTGGTCAACATCATAGAGAGGGAAGGTAGAACCGAGGTGATGGAGTAATAGTCATAATGATAGCTAGCATTTGTATGGTGCCTACTGTGTGCCAAGCACTTTATGAAAGAGGCACAAGTTCCATCTTCTTCTTTCCTTTCAAACAAAACTACTCCAAGCATATCTAGAAAACACACTAGACCAAATCTTGACTAGCAAATCCAAGAAAAGAGTCACAGTGAGTCATTTTTCTAGTGTAGGAGACAGGCTGAGAGATCTGTGAACATTCCTTCCTTTTCTAGATGTTTATTAACCATGACATTGTGATTTAGAACTTTCTCATGAATTGAGATCATGCTCATTGACCTATAACTTCCTTTTCCTTTGTTGAAAATTGGGAGAACCTTTGTTCTTTTAAATCCTTTGGTACTTCTCCCATTCCCTATAATTTTTCAGGTATCACCAATGATGGTCCAATAACTATTTCCGATTTCTTTAAGTACTCAAAGATGTAATTCATCTAAGCCAGATGACTTGGATTAGTTAAGGGCAACTAAGTGTTCTCTTTATATCTTTTCATTTCTCTTAGGATTCAAGATAAGTAAGTGATTCTAAAGTGAGGGTCTGACCATGACACCACCTGCTCAGTGAACTTGGGGGCTCTCTTTTGCCTTCTGAATCAAATACAAAGTCCTTCCTCTGGCATTTAAAATTCTTTATAAGCTCACTTGTTCTCCTACCTTTACAGTCGTGTCTTCACAAACTCCGTGACCCAGCTACAGTGGCCTGCTTATAGCGTCCTGAACATGACCCTTCATCTTTTGTTTCCATGTCTTTGCGTTGACTGTCCCCTGTGTCTATTATGTTCTCCCTCTTAGGTCTGACCCTTAGCTTCCCTGGCTTCCAGGAGGGTAGGCAAAGAGAGACTTTGGCAGTTGATTAGGTGGGTATCATATGCTTCTAAGTCATTTGTATTAATTTGAAGTTTGGTAGTTTGTGAAAAGAATCTTAATTATGATTGAAATCCAGGTGAGTAATGCATAGCTAGGATGTAGCCAAACTGATACTTAACTAACCTGGGAAATGTTTTAGGCATCTGAATTAACAAAGAATATAATTCTTACCTTCTTCCAATTCTGATTGAGGAAAAGTTTCAGAGATGGAAATACTGCGATAATCTAGAATGTAGGTTATTACCCTGTGTCAGTTGGTGTGTAATACTATAATGTACCACAATGAAAGTGCTTTTCAAAATTGGATGTGTTTTAAAGCCCTCTAAAAGTGACTTGAAGATTCTTTTTTACCTTCGATTCTTTGTGTAACTTTCTCCTTTAGCATGGTTAATTGAGAGTTTACTTTTTATTTGGCATAATACTGATTTGTTTGTTGTTTTCACTTTTTAAAAATATTAAAAATATTTAATATTTAATATTTAAATATTTAAAATATTTAAAATATTATTTTTACAGCGAAGAAAGACGTGGGATACAGAATGCACACTCTTTCCAGGAGAGAGTGTATCTAGCTTCGGAAAAGAAGATGCAAATACATCCCTCTCCAAAGCATGGCTTAAGTGTGGTGATGGCTTTCAAAGTGACTCTGTGCCGCCGGTAAGGGTCTTTTCAAATTACTCTCCTTGAAGGTCAGAGATGGTTTTCCAGCATGTTGTAGTGGAAGGAATGTTGATGTAGACGTGTTGAACTGGAAGTCATGGGACTTGAATTCCTTTTCCAACTTGACTACTTACTATCTGGGTGACCTTGGGCAAGTCCGTCCATCTCCCTGGATGTCAGTTTCCTAATCTGTAAATTGAAGGGATTGGACTAGATGGCCTCTGTTGTCCTTTCAGCCTTTAAATCTTTGATCGTTTGGTTCAGTGTTTGAGTGGGGTATGATTTAGGACAGCTGCTATCTGGGGTTTCATGCATTTTTAAAATTTATCGTCTAATTCTCATCTTAGCTGTACATAATAAGCCTGACTTTTCTGCTTCCTCATACGATTCTGTTTGAATCTAGTGACCTTTTCATGTAGAATTTTAAAAACTGGGGAATTACATTAGGCCACAGCAACAGAAAAGTAAAGGATATTAGAATAATAACGTGTTGTGGTATCTGTTGCTACCTTCTTTGCCCAGAGTGGTAATTGTGCTCTTTACCTTAGGGCTTTACCTTTAATCTTCAGTACTTTTTAGAGTGTCTTCTTCTAGCATTTCTTCACCTGCTATTGGAACAGGTTGTACTATGGGTTGAAGGATGACATTGGATTGTGGAATTAAAAAATTACATATTTGCCTAAAATGTTAATTCCTGAGCTGCAACAGTCTGTCCTAATAGTTCTCTCCAAGGGTTCTGTTGGGGTCCATTGGAGTGTTCTTTTTGCATTGAATTGTAAACTACTCAGTACAAAGGATTATTGTAGTCCCTATTGTTTCCATCTTTGAGTCTTCTCCTTAATTTATATAGTGCTTACTAAATTCTAACTGAGTGGAAATGTTCCCTAATTTTCCATACCATTTATTATTACCTGCTACCGCACTACTGGCGTCCTCAAGTTGAGAGTCTTCTTTCAGATTTTCTGGTTTACTTTAATGTTGCATTGGCTTTTTTTTTCTTTTTTAACAACTTTATATAATTCAGGCTGATGAAATTGCATCTCACCAGCATTCTTCCCTATGATCAACAAAATATTCTGATTTTTCCTCTTATTCCAGTATTCCTTCCTGTTAATGGAGTTGGTTTAATTTTCTCCTCAGGTTAGATGTAACTGCTAGTTTCCAGGAAGGCTTAATTATGACTGGAGAAGGCCTTGCAGTCATTTATTCTTTTCTCCTCCACTTATTCTCATATCTAACGATCTTAGACTGATGGATATTTTTGAGATTAAAACCAAAAAATCAAAGTGTTAAGAGTGAGGGCTACCATGCTAGTTAGGAGGCCTAGTTTGGTTTAGTTTAGTTTATAAAAATAGCTCTGCCACACTAAACTTTTTGTAGTGGACTGGGATGAGAACATTGAACTTGGAACTCAGGAGACTGGGTTCCATTTATATTTGTTGAATTGGATTGAATGGCCTTAACACTTAGCAGCTGTATGACTTTCATTGGGCAAGCCTTTGAGCTTCAGATTACTTGTCTGGAAAATTGAGATGGTAATATTTGTGCTATTTTCTATATGTGCTATTCATGAGGAAAGTACTATATAAAATGCTATAAAATATTAACTATAATAACATATTCAATTGATAGTTGATTTCTACCACCCCCCCCTACACTTTATTATGTGTTCATTCTTTGAAGTATTTTAGTTTTATATAAATAGTTCTATTTATAGTAATTGTCTTTATTCAGAAGATTGCTTAGTGGGATAATTTAGTTAATTGAATATTTGTACTTGTAACTGATAATTGGAAATCTATGTACAGTATATCTAATAACTTTTAAAGAATTGGAACATGGTAAGACATGACCTTAAATTGTTTTGAACTATCCATCATTTCATTAATGGGTTACTATTTCCGCTGATGCAGATCCCAGCATCTCCATGTTTTATGTTTTGAGGAATAAAAAAATTACTTCCCTAGTTGTCAGCTTTCTGGTGATAGGCCTGTCAGCATATAACAGCTTAGCTTAGGGTAGAGCTTGTCCCACCTTCCACTCTTCTGGCATGACCTTTGGCATGGTTACCTTCACGCCACCTCGAAGTTACAGAGTAGGACATTAGTGGAGCATCATAACATGTACATTACAAAAACTATCCTGAACATATTTTAATTCTGAATTCCTAAAGCATTGCAGGTTTTTAAGTGTGTTAGGTTCATTTTGAATGTCAGTTATCATTTTTTATATTATTGTACATAAAACTTAAGATAATATGCTTTCTTTTTGTTTAAATTGTGAAAAAATGGTAGTTTACTGTATAAGGACTTCGAATCAGAGAATTTTAGAGCTGGAAGGGACCTGTATGATATATCTAGTCCAACACCCTCCTTTTGCAGATAAGGAAATGGAGCCTCAGAAAAGGGAAGAGAGGAGGGAACAAGTATTTATAAAGTGCCTAATATGTTCCAGGCACTTTGCTGAGCACTTTACCATTATTATCTTCTTTGAGCCTCACAACAGCCTTGGGAAGTAGATGCTATTATTATCCCCATTTTGCAGTTGTGGAAACTGAGGCAAACAGGGTTAAGTGACTTGCCCAGGGTCACAAACTTAGTAAGTGTCTGAGGCTGGATTTGAACTCAGGTCATCTTGACTCCAGGCCCAGCTTTCTATATACTTTACCACTTAGTTGCCTATGACTTGTTCATAGTCTTAGCTGTAGTTAATGCTTTATTGTTTTGTTTTTTTAAAAATCATGATATAGCATAATTGTGCTGTGAAGAATACTTCATTTGTTAAATAAAAGCCAAGGGAGTGGTAATGACCCAGGATTGCTGTGGTGGGCAGTAGGATGTTCTTGTCTCTTCTTAGTGGATAGTATATGTAGTATTGTTGCCTCTTATTTATAGACACTTGAAGTTCTTTCTTCTTACTTTTTGCCCACAGATTATAGAATTGTCCACTGAGATGGCTGTTATGAAGAAGCACCTTGAATCCTCCCTCAAGCCTAAGGAAGGTAAATTTTTCTCCCTGATTTCAAGATAGTAAAAGGCCTCCTCTGACATCTCATCGTGATGCATTCTTGAAGGATATGCCAATTAAGTACAAGCTTGGGCAGGTCCTGTAAACCAGGAAGGATTTGCATACGCACTCAATAATGGGATTGACTATCCTAAACTCACAGAATTTCCTCACCTGGGTGCTGGTGGATTGATACTTTTTTTTTTCTTGGCCACATCCACTTTTGTTAAAATTAGAGAAGAATGATGATTTTCTTTGGTAGAAGGATTGTCCACACTGATGAAAGCACAGATCTTTGCAGTACTGGAGGTTTTTGGTGTAAGAGGCGACTACTTTCTTTGCTTAGACCTGGGGCCTGAAATAAGTCTGGCTGAAAGCATATGTCCCAAGTTCTTGAGATTGTGTTTCTGGCACTCGATGTACAAGAGATTTAGGCCAAAAAAAATTTAAGGGGTCACTACAGACTAATTTTCCCTATTTCCTGAGTTCATATTGAGAGTGGTGGTTCTTAGAAACTGAAAAATTCAGTTCAGTTCACATTTATTAAGAACTTACTTACATATTAAGAACTGGACATTCTGGTAGGCACTGAATCTTCCAATCTGAATCAGTTCTTTTGAGAATCACTGTATGCTATTACTAAATAGTTGTATGAACTCAGGTAAAAACTAAGCAATACTTGTTTATGGCGTACTCCCTAGGGACAAGGCACAGTGTGATAGATCTCATTTTCCCCACGTGTAAATGAAAGATTAAAGCATGATTCCTGCTTACAAAGAGAAATTGTGGACATAATAGCTATAATACAGAATTGGATGTAATAAGTTTAAAGTGGTATGAGACATAAGGAGAAATTTTATTTTCAGTCATAAAAGAAAAATTTAATTATGTTTAGTATACCATATTAAGACAGAAAAGGATATTCATACATTTTATAAAGGTTTTCTAGTTAATTTTCTAGTTAATTCTCACTTAACCAAAAATCAAATTAATCAGGCTGTCAGTTTACATGCTGGTTAATCTGGTTAATCAAGATTTTACTGTATATTTATGGAATACTTATCTGAGGAACTCAGTGTATGATTCATAACACTTCAAGTCTTGTGTCATGGAAGCCTGTCAGTATTGTTGTGAGATACAAATATGATCCATTTATTCTTCAGAAATTAGTAACAAAAGTATTAAAGCAAATAAAGCTACATAAACATTTTTTCCCCCAGAAATGACAAAATGAACTAATGATCATTGTGGACTTAAGGTGTCTTGATTTCTTGGCCTAATCTGTATTTACTGGATAGGTGGTTATTGAAATTTTTCATCCCATTTGTAATTCCTTCAAGAGAGTAGAAACGAAACTCTTTATTATTATCCTTGTGTCTTTCTCCAGTGCTGAGGATAGTGCTTGGCATATAATAAATGCATTGAATGAAGGGTTATGGAATGAATATCATCTTTATTCTTCCCTTTCCCAAAGCCTTCTTTCATCTGTTATGCTCCATGTTACCTTTCCTAAATAGCATTTCCCCCCCTATTTTTCCTTTTTTAGGCAGTTGGGGTTAAATGGCTTGCCTAGGGTCACACAGCTAGTAAGTGTCAAGTGTTTGGTCTGAGGCTAGATTTGAATGCAAGTCCTCCTGACTTCAGGGCTGGTACTCTATCTACTATGCCACCTAGCTGCCCCTAAATAGCTTTTAAAAAACAGTTTATCTCCCTCTTGTCATTACCATGGAATTTAAATGTTGGGAGAAAAGGAATGAGTGGGGGAGGGAATAAATATTTGGATAGCACGTACTATGTGCCAAGCACTGTGCTGAGCATTTTGCAGATATCTGATTTGATCCTGACGACAACCTTTCAAGGTTGGTGCTATTATTGTCCAAATTTTACAATTGAGTTTCGAAAGTGAGGCAGACAAAAGTTACGTGACTTGGCCAGAGTCACACAGCTAAAGTGTTTGAGGCTGGATTTGAACTCATCTTCCTCATTCCAGGTCTAGTGCTCTATGTACTGCACCACCTTGCTGCCTCAAAAACAGCGTAGGGGTAACAGGAAATCAATCAGAAGTCAACTCATTAGTCACAGGTTACTAGTGGTAGTACCCAGTCTTTGTTGGCAGCTCCACATTGGGGCTTTGTCACGTTTTTAGAACTTAAACCTTAAATTCTGATCTCTAGCATCCAGATCTCTGGCTTTAGGCACATTGTACTGAACCTGAGGTTCTCTGATGTTTTCATTCAGTGACAGATCCCTCCCCTTCACTCAGCTCTACCAAAAAAACATGTTAAGATAGCCACCCCACTCACGATCACCATAGCAACATCCTTACCTTTTGTCTTTCTTATTTCAGAATAAATCAGATCTTACCTTATTTTGTTTGATTAAGAGTAGGACCAGGTAGAGGGAATAGAAGGGGAGGTAGCCAGAGAACAAGATGCAGTTAATTGCAGAGAAGTATGTAAGGAGCTGAATATAGCTCTTCTGTTATTCTCTGAGACACTAGAATCATTTTGACAAATGCCTGTTAAATGCCTTCTGGCACTAGAGAATCACTTACTGTAAGGCACTAGACCAGGGGTACAAAGATGGGGAAAAGAATAATGTAATTCTTGCTTTTAAGTAGCTGAAAATCTAGGAAAAGGGTTATAGGACATGACATGTATTTATTTGTACATTTGGGGGGAAAGGAGAGACCCAAAGCTCTACAGGGAAGGAAGAGAAAAACTTTCAGCTGGGGAGATCAGGAATTGTGTTTCATAGCCAGCATTTTTGGGAAATGTGGACAGAATAATTATCTCCTTATAATGAATAGCTTTTTAAAATTTTTTTTGCTTTTCTCCTATTTTAAAGTTTTGGTTTCAAAAACTAACATTAACTATTTTATTGAGTCCACTACTATAGGCAGGGTACCAGAGTAAAATTGTGCTAGAGGAAAGCTCAAGAGGATTCATATCATCGTTAACAAATATTTATTGAGTACCCCATGAGCATTCTTGGAAATTATAGCCTCATAATTCATTGTCATAAAATTCCTTTCTGAGTCCTTTGTCCATGCTTCAGTGGCTTTGCTAGTCTTTTATAAAACTTTTGTATCAAGTCTAAATCTTTTTATTTTTTAAAAATTTTATCACATATTTAATCTCAACAAAAATGAAGAATATACAGACTACAGACAAGAACTACATTTCTGCAGTACATGAACTTGGAATATTTTGCATTTTGGTAAAAGAAAAAAATATAACCCTTAACAAAATCATAGTAATAATAACTTATTTGTTCTGTCCCTCCCTCTGGTCTCTTTTGTTTCTGTATGTTTTCTTTGGTTCACAATTAAGATAGATATATTATCTTTTTCTTCAGATTTTTTTTTTGTGGTTTTATGTTTTTAAATCATTGATCCAATTGGAATTTTTATAGTATATACTGTGAGGTGTCAGTTTAAATTTGTTTCTTTTTCCCATTGCTATCCATTTCCCCTCAAATTTTTATTAAATAATTCTTAATTTTCCCAATGTCTTGTAGTCTTGCATTTATCAAATGCTAACTTTTCATACACATTTGCATATACTTTTTTTTCCTTCTTCTTTTTTTTTTTTTTTTTTGCTTTTTAGGCAGTTGGGGTTAAGTGACTTGCCCAGGGTCACACAGCTAGTAACTGTCAAGTGTTTGGTCTCAGGCCAGATTTGAAGTCCTCTTGACTTCAGGGCCAGTGCTCTATCCACTGCGCCACCTAGCTGCCCCTGCATATACTTTTCATATATATTTAGTTCTATTTAGCTACAACTATTTTGTCTTTATTGGCATTTCTCTATCCTTCTTAGCTGCATTACCTGCCATTCTGTCTTTGATTCTGTTAATCTTGCTTTTAGTTCATGGTATTTTATACTTTTTCTCCTGAAGTCATTTTGCAAGGCCTCTTCAGTAGATTTTTAAAGGCTATGCCTGAGAATGTATGCTCTGGTAGGTTCTTCTAAGATGAAAAGGCCAGGATTTTTTATTGTCTGAGGACAGCTTCGCTGAATTTGGGAGATTCATCACCAAAAGCTTGGCTACCCTGTGACTTAGTTTAGTCATAGCAGCTCCTGAAGAATGTCTTCTAAGTCACATATGGGTTGCAATCTACATTGGTAGAGGCAATACCTATTCTGATTAATCAGATTCTTTGAAATATTTTTAATTTGGGAGAATTTTGTCATCCTTTTCTCCCAAGATTTATAACTCAGTTCTTTATTTAATTCTTTTTATGCTCTTTATTTTTGGGTAAGTGGAGGCTGATTTTTATTATTTTAGTTCTTTGCATATATCTATTTATGATTTTTATTTCTCTGGATTTCTTGTATTTCTAGTGCTGCTATGGCTGTTATTGTTGTAATATTTGTACTTTTATTTTATCACCCACCTTCTTTTGTTTGTTCATCAACCTTTTGATGAGGATTGATTTTCATGTAAGAATTGCACAACTTTGTTTCTTCTCCCAATTTCTTTTGCTACTTTTGAAGGGGAATCATAAGGAGCCAGGCCTTCTTATGCTCTCTCACTCTGCAATCTACTTCTCTGTCCTCCTTCATCTTATTTTGTTTCTCTTACATGAAATTATTTGTTTTTTGCCCTTGTAATAGATGGTGCTCTGGGCAGATGCTTGGCTTATATCATTATTGAAGTAGGCTTATTTTTTGGTAAGGCATCCCTTCATTTATGAGAGCCTGGTAGAGTGTCTAGCATATATTAGCCATTTAATATCTATTAAATTGAATCTTAAATCTTCATGCAATTAATTAACATTGATGAAATAATTCATTTTGATCAACAAACAGCTTAATTTAATTGATTTTTTCTGATTTTTTTGTGTTTTCTAAAATAGTAGCTTTTCCATCTGAAGCTTCAAAGGGACCTTCTGACATAATATGGAGCTCTAGTGGGAGTGATCTCTCAGAAGAAGATAAAGAGATGCCATGTCAATCTCAGAAATATAAAAGATGTTCTCCCAACATAGATGACAGCAGCAGTGAAGGTAAGTTGATAGATTTTTAAGAAATTCAAGTTCTGTTGCATTTTTTCTTCAGAACCAATGATAATGATATTATATGGTTTGGCCAACTTGTGTTTTTGATTAAAAGTGTAAGAATTAATGGTTAGAAGAAATACTTTCTTGGTTTAGTTATGATAATGTTTTAAATTACATTCATTAGTGTTCTTGGTCATTTGTAGGTCATATGAAAGCTAAGAATTTTAATTATGCTAAAAGCCTTAGATGAACTAAAGTCACATTTACAGCTTTTTAATTATCTGTATCACTTTGGTGATGCTGGACAACATTTAAAAAGGTTTATTTGAAAGGCACGCATTAGAGAGGCCAGTTTTTCCCTTAGTTACTGTGCCTATAATTCTAGGAACTGAATGTGACATAGTGTCAATGATGTAATTAATTGCATTGCTATTTACTTTGATGCTTTGAAAGATCCTTGGTTTCATTCTATGTAAATTGCAATCCCACTGCACTTTGTTGTTATGAGAGATTCTTGTTCATATTTTCACTTTAAAACATCTGTGGAAAATGCCGTCTTGTTCTTTTAGTACATTGTTGATACCGTTGTTGTCCTTCTGTTGCTTCTCATCATTACTCCATATAATCTGAGTTTGAATGAACCTTAGAGACCATCTAATCCATGTATGAATAACACAGGACAAATGTTCCCCTGGCCTTGTCTTGAGGACCGTTATTGTGGGGAATCCACTGTTTCCTTAGGCAACATGTTCTACTTTTGTTCAGCTCTAATTATCAGGAAGTCTTTCCATATGCTGCATTAAAATTGGCCCTCTCTAGTTTCCAGTGATTAGTTCTGTCTTCTGGGGCCAAGCAGAACAAGCTCATCCCTCTTAACAATCCTTCCAGTACTCAAAGATAGTTATCATATATCCATTCTTCAGGCCTCCACATCTTCTCTTTTCCAGGCTGTCCATCCCCAGCTTTTTTAATCAGTCCTCATATGGTATGATCTCAATGCATTAACTATTTCCTCTGGACACTAACCAGCTTATCAGTATTATTCTTAACATTTTGTGCCCAGAAGTATTGGAACACCATTCCAGATATTCTCCAAACAGTGAAAAGTTATCTAGGACTGCGCCCTTCCTAGATTTGGATACAGTCTAAGATGACATTACTTTTCTTTTCTTTTTTTTTAGTTATTGTAGTATGATATGAAACCTTTACAGAAGAGAAATTGTGGCCGAGTTACAATTTGTAGTGGGGTGAAATAAGGGATCTTGTTGACACATTGAATTTGTAGTTTAGTAAAATGACTAGATCAAAGGTTTTTAATTTTTTTTTATGTTAGCCTTTGGCTGTCTAATGAAGGCAATGAATCGTTTCTCAGAATAATGTTTTTAAATACAGAAAATGCAATAATATTACAAAGCAAACCAGTTATATTGAAATACAGTTGTCAAAATATGAAAAGAAACAAGTTCCTGGATCCCAGGCTACAATCTCTGGTCCTAGTTATTTTTCAGGTAAAATGCCATCTAGTTACTCCTTCCTTATATTTTATTTGTGAAATTGATATTTTTAAATCTAAGTGTAAAATTTTACATTTATCTCTATTAAATTTCATTTTATTACATTCAGCTTCATATTTTAGCGTTTCAGATGCTTTTAGATCCTGACTTTGTTTTCCATTGTGTTTTAGTGACCCTTCTCAGCTTTATATTATTTGTCTTTCTTTTATAATTTTTTTGATAATTAATTTATTTTTAGTTTTCAATATTCACTTCCATAATATTTTGAGTTTTAAATTTTCTCCCCCTTTTCACTGCTCCCTCTATCCCAAGATGGCATGCAATCTGATATAGGCTTTATTTATACATTCATATTAAGCATATTTTCCCGTTAGTCACGATGTAAAGAACAATTAGAACTAATGGGAGGAGCCATGAGAATGAAGCAATAAAACAAAACAACAAAGGAAAAGGAGAGCAAATAGTATGCTTCTATTTGCATTCAGACTCTGTAGTTTTTTTTCTGAATGTGGATAGCAGTTTCCATTGTGAGTCTTTTGGAGTTGTCTTAGATCCTTGTATTGCTGGGAAGAGCCAAGTCTGTCAAAGTCAGTCATCACACAGTGTGGCTGTTACTGTGTACAATGTTTTCCTGGTTCTGCTCATTTCACTCTGCATTAGTTTATGTGAGTCTTTCCAGGTTTTTTTAAAGTCTGCCTGTTCATCATTTCTTATAGCACAATAGTATTCCGTTATATCCATATACCACAACTCGTTTAGCCATTCCCCAGTTGATGGGCATCCCCTCAATTTCCAATTCTTTGCCCACACAAAAAGAGCTGCTATAAATATTTTTGTACTTGTGGGTCCTTTCACTATTTTTATGATCTCTTTGGGATATAGACCTAGAAATGCTATTGTTGGGTCAAAGGATATGCACATTTTTATTTATTTATTTTTTATTTTTAGGCAACTGGGGTTAAGTGACTTGCCCAGGGTCACATAGCTAGTAAGTGTCAAGTGTTTGGTCTGAGGCCGGATTTGAATTCAGGTCCTCCTGACTCCAGGGCTGGTGCTCTATCCACTGTGCCACCTAGCTGCTCCGGTATACACATTTTTATAGCCCTGTGGGCATTGTTCCAAATTGCTCTCCAGAATGGTTGGATCAGTTCACAACTCCACCAACAATGCATTAGCGTTCCAATTTTCCTACATCTTCTCCAACATTTATCATTTTCCTTTTTTGTCCTATTAGCCAATCTGATAGGTGTGATATGGTACCTCAGAGTTGTTTTGATTTGCATTTCTCTAATCAATAGTGATTTAGAACTTTTTTTGTATTACTACAAATAGCTTTAATTTCTTCCTCTGAAAACTGCCTGTTCATATCCTTTGACCATTTATTAATTGGGGAATGACTTGTATTCTTATAAATTTGACCCAGTTCTTTATATATTTTAGAAATGAGGTCTTTATCGGAGATACTGGTTGTAAAAATCCCTTTCCAGCTTTCTCTTTCCTCCTAATCTTGGAAGCATTGGCTTTTGGCAAAAACTTTTCAGTTTAATGCAATCAAAATTATGTATTTTGCATTCATAATGTTCTCTATCTCTTGTTTGGTCATAAATTCTTCTCTTCTCCATAGGAAAGTAAACTGTTCCTTGCTCTTCTAATTTGATTATAGTATCACTCTTTATATCTAAATCCTGTACCCATTTTGACTTTATCTTGGTACAGGGTATAGGGTATTGGTTTATGCCCATTTTCTGCCACATTTTTTTCCAGTTTTCCCAGCTGTTTTTGTAAAATAGTGATTTCTTATCCCAGAAGCTAGAGTCTTTGGATTTGTCAAATAGTAGATTAGTATAGTCATTGACTGTTGTGTTTTGCATATCTAACCTAGTCCACTGATCCACAGCTCTATTTCTTAGCCAGTACCAACTAGTTTTGATGATTGCTGCTTTATAATATGATTTAAGATCTGGTACAGCTAGGGCACCTTCCCATGCATTTTTCATTAGTTCCCTTGATATTCTGGACTTTTTGTTTTTCCAGATGAGTTTTGTTACTGTTTTTTCTTAGCTCTATAAAATAATTTTTTTAGTAGTTTGATTGGTATGGTGCTGAATAAGTAAATTAATTTAGGTAGAATTGTCATTTTTATTATATTAGCTCAGCTTACTCATGAGCAACTGATATTTTTGAAATTATTTAGATCTGACTTTATTTGTGTGAAAAGTGTTTTGTAATTGTATTCATATAGTTCCTGGTTTTGTTTTGGCAGGTAGTGATGCCAATGATTTGTATGAACTTATTTTATATCCCACAACTTTGCTAAATTTGTTTATTATTTCAAGTAATTTTTTACTTGATTCTCTAGGATTCTCTAAACATCCCATCATTCATCTGCAAAGAGTGATAACTTGTTTCTTTTTTGCCTATTCTAATTCCTTCAATTTCTTTTTCTTCTCTAATTGCTACAGCTAACATTTCTCACACAGTATTGAGTTATACTGGTGATAATGAATATCCTTGTTTCACCCCCCTGATATTATTGGAAATGCTTCTAGTTTCTCCCCATTACATATAATGCTTGCTGATGGTTTTTGATAGATGCTGTCTATCATTTTAAAGAAGACTCCATTTATTTATGTGCTCTCTGGTATTTTTAATAGGAATGGGCATTGTATTTTGTCAAAAGCCTTTTCTGCATCTATTGAAATAATCATATGATTTCTGTTAGTTTTGTTGTTGATATGGTCAATTATGCTGATAGTTTTCCTTTTTAGGGTATTTTTCTCCTCATTGGCTTTTTTGGACCTCTTTTGCCATTTGGGTTAGGCTATTTTTTAAGGTGTTATTTTCTTCAGTATTTTTTTGGGTCTCCTTTAGCAAGCTGTTGACTTGTTTTTCATGATTTTCTTGCATCACTCTCATTTCTCTTCCCAGTTTTTCCTCTACTTCCCTTACTTGCTTCTCAAAATCCCTTTTGAGCTCTTCCAAGGCCTGGAACTGATTCATATTTTTCTTGGAGGCTTTGGATATAGGAGCTTTGACTTTGTTGTCTTCTTCTGGTTGTATCTTTTGATCTTTTTCACCAAAGTAAGATGATATAGTCTGACTCTTTTTGCGCAGCTTGCTCATGATCCCAGCCAATTACTTGAGTTTTAAACTCTTTGTTAAGGTACGAATCTGTTTCCAGTGTGGAGAATGTACTGTCCCAAGTTTCAGGGGTTTGTACAGCTGTTTTCAGAGATCCTTGTAGGGCCCTGTAAGTTTTCAGTTCTTCCAAGGTGGTATGATAAGGGGCGAGGTGTTTACTCCTTTCCTGGCCTGCGACTACAAGTACTTCTTTCTGTCCTGTAACTGTGAGGAGGGATTCCTCTCCACAATTACTACAAGCTCCACCAAGCCAGCGTTCCTCCTCACCCCAGCACTGCTGCCCAGAACTGTGGCACAGATCCAAACAGGGGGCAAAGCAAGAGATTCCTGCCTCAGCACTGGCAAAGAGAT